GCGTGGCTGACTGTAAATTGTGCGAATTCTCGTACGTTGTTTTTTAACAGTTGCAAAGCTTCAACTTCGACTTTTTGCTATTTTTAATCTCGGTGCGAAAAATTCGGGAATTGATGCGTGTAAACAAAGGTGAACTAATTTTATGGCGTTGTAATGCTACACCGCTATGCTAGGACTATCGAACGAGGAAAAATTACTGGCTTCCGATTTTTTGTTCAGTACATTGTAACAGAAATTGTACGAAGCTTAAGTAAATCCAATGTTGTAATTGTTGTGAAACAATAATCTGGCATGTGTATGACTTGACAGTTTATAGTGTAAAAAGTACAAAAAGATTCTTTTTATCATAAGGTATCATAAGAGGAGTATATGTTTCGTATTTAATAAAACATTCTCATTTGTAAGAGAACCGATAACAAAATAAATAGCATTAATTTTACAAAAGTTCACGACTAACTCGTTAACCAGTTTTTTGTTCTCATAATTTCAGTTTTGTTGAGCTGAAAGTTCTACTCCTGTCAAAAATTCTACAAGTATGAATTTAAAGTAGTATGCGTTGAACGAAGAGCATGATGAAGCTGTTCAAGGTACGAAGTTTGAAAGTACATAGCATTTCCACTACAGCAGAGAAACGCGCAGTTTTCAATTCTATAGTTTTGAACTACGTCACGAAACTAGTTTGTATTTTTTCCGTAATTCCCCTCAACAGAAAGTTTGGATACGGTAGTTAGAATTTCATACGTTTATTCGTGATTCGTGCATTTTTTCATACAAATTCGTGAAACGAAAAATTAAATAAATGTCAATAATTACTTCTTTTAAATTCCAATTCATTGAAACCACTCATCGACGAAATTTCTCGTCCACTCCTTGAATCTTCCCATAAACGAGATTATCGAATGATGAATTTTGAAAGCTTTGACATTCCAATTCCATTATTATACGATATATTACATATATTACATATATATTATTAGTATATACATTATATATATTATTACATTATTATTATTATATTATATTATTATAATAATAATAATTATTATTATATTATTATATATACTATATACATTACATATATATTATTAATATATATTACATATATTATACATATATTATACGATGTATGCGATGTATGATCGTACACTGATTGTGCGATCAAATTTAGAGACTAATTTGTATCGTTACGCATCCGAGCAGACTAAATTTGACTGGCATAAATGCTAGAAATTTGTAAAGCACGGGAAAATTGAAGAAGCAACCACTTGAATCAACTTCAACTTTTCAGTCTCGGTTCAGCTTTGAAGTCGCGGGACTTTTTAAGCTAACGACGCGGCAGTCAACGCGTCGAACATATACGGTGTTTCGAAAACACTGGCGTTCAAATAGTTTTTTGGAGCCATGGTATGTACTTCGTCGCAAGCTCAGCGAAATTGCAAAGTTCGATCGACAGTGGCCGCGATAGACGAAAGACTTTAACGATGCCCCTTTTTTCTACGGGGGAAAAAAGTTTCACTTTGCCCGCGGAATGAGTAAACCGCTAACGAACGACACGGTTCCATTACAAGTTCTCGCTCGGCCAAAAAGGAAACAGGAAGATTTTATTAGCAGAGAAACCGGGAGATGGGTCGCGCGCCATCTCTATTTATCATCGTTAGGAGAACTTGCGAACGGCCTTTATCGGGACACTTTCCGCCGGATTTGCTCCGGAGCAATCGCGATCAGCGAGTTAAAAGCTCGCTACCCTGCCGATCGTGAGTAATTACTTAACAAAGGCGGGCGTCGCGTCGCATAGTCGAGCGCGCGCTTTTTTTTGAAATCGTTCGCTCGGTCGCTTCGACGGTCAGGGTCCGGAAAATAATACAAGATCCCGCGTCTTCAGCGTTGCTGCCCTGGAGAGTTGATCTTTAAAAAATCTACAGGTTAGACGAGCAAGGAGAAAACAGAATTTCTTCCCGAAACCTTGCCGCTCGATATTTTACCAAGCGACAATTATTCAAGCCATCGTCGCAGTATTAATTAAACACTATTTCTACCGAAGATGTCAGAGGGTAGTTCTAATAATTTTTATTTAACTATTTTTATTTTTATTATTTTTTATATTTTATATTTTATATTTATTTTTTTATTATTTTTTATTATTTTAACTATTTTAATTTATTTTTATTTAGCTATTTTTACAAAAGGGCTTAAAGGACATCTTTTAATAATTTTTAATACAAAATTATTTCCTGTCTTCTGCGTTCTCTGCGTGATCGCTTCTCGACTTTCGCTACGGGCATCGCAAAATTAATTCGGTAAATTGTAGAAACTATCGGTGAATAGCGTTAATGTAAATAAAATATGTATATTTTATAATCGTAAACGAGCGAGGCGTTTAAAGAGCTACGCTAAAGAGTCGTCGGGTGCAAAGGGTTGTATGCGTGAAATTGCTTTCCATTGTTCCCACGCTTCGCTCGTTCGCCCTCTTCGATGAAATAATGATTACCATCCGACGTAGCCGGGTTTCTTATTATTCCCGTAATATTATTGCACAAAGGGCCGCTAATAGGTTTTACGTTCCCCGCGGAACGGTCTGCCTTGAAAGCGAGCCATCACGACCGATTGATTACCATACGATTTTAATTAAACGTTAGTACGCAGGAAGCACACGCGGCTAATTACAGCCCCCTACGTAACAATTAGTTAATTCTAATCTGAATCTGCCCCAGTTCCGTGGCCGTTGCGCGAAATTTAAGCCACGCTTAAATCCTGGCCGGTTGCCAATTGAACACCTGGGATTGGTTTATACCGGTTTCAAGTTAAGCCACGGCGTCGAACACGGCTTTGATTACGCGAGATTGCTTCTTCGACTTGAATTCCCGCCGGCTTAAGCTCCGTCTTTTATTCCCGGCCAAAATGCCCCGGGCTCACGCGAATGATCTTGATAATTGTTATTGTACGATTCGACGCGGGGCAACACACGTTCTACTCGTGCACGTTCTACCTTCGACTGCGCGAGCAAGGAAACGTTTCTAGAGGGATTACGTTTCCCTCGTAAACACTGGCAGTTTCGAAAGTTTACGCACGCTTGTTAAGTTACACATGTTTAGAAAAGGGATTTTAAACGTTTTGGGATATTGACACATTTTTGAAGCCTTTCGATACTGACTGAAATGAATGCTAGAAGAAATATATAGTCTTTGTATCATTTTTATAAATTATATTTTTTTATAACTTCTCTATTATAAATTACGAGTACGACTAAATATTATAAACCATATAAAAATAGTGGTAGATGAAATTGTTCATAAATACTACAAATTGAACACGTGACTCTCGCCTGTACAACGTACAGGCTACACATTGAACAGGTGAAAACTAGATAAGTTCAGAAAAACTAACAATGTACCTTGCAGTTGCTTAGATTAGATGATAACTAGGCTTCGTACAAAACACGATTGTTCGAATAAATTTTTCAAAAGAAAATATAACTGAAATACCGATAAAAAAGCGATCAATGTTTTAGTAACACATTGATTTTAATATCTAATTTAATATCTAATTTACTACCTTCGGTTAAGAAATGCTTCAAATCTTCTCCTTCTTTCTTTTCCGCAAGATGAAAAACAAATAATTACAATATCTTGCAGAGGAAGCCGCAAATACGATGTAATTTATTGTAATAGAAGTATGGTTAATCACAGGAATCTTGCGGAAAGTAAAGGAAAAAAGGGAAATCACTTTTCTGCGGTTTTTACGGCCGGCAAAAAGTTTCAAATTACTTTAACCTCGGGCGAAAGTTTACCTTCTCCAATGAAACTCTAAACTCTCGATACAGTTAATTTAAGATTCAACGCATTTACGTGTACACTGCGGTTAATAATCTTTCCACTGAAAGAAGCGTAACAATTTTCTTGTAAATAGCAATCCCGAAGGAAATGGGCTTCGCATGAAGCGTTATGGTGTTCCAAATGATCTGTTGGTTTGCAAATGAAATTGCTGCTCCCGTTGAAAGATTAATCCTCGAACGCTCCGTAAAATACATTTTTACTTAACCCCTTCTATAAAGAATGCATGAGTTTTCGGTTTTAAAAATATCTCGTCAATCCAGAACATGCTTGAAAGAAACTCACAAAAATAAGTACGATTTACAGCTGTTAAACGAAACATTAACCAGTTAACTATTTTCGACAAGTACGAAGAAATGAGAACATTTTATGTTATGACGAGTACACGTAAAAATTTGTTGTTTAAATTGCAGTGTGTGTGTGTTTCCGTGCAAAATAAAGTATACTCGTAAATATTGAGACGTTTTGAATATTTGCGGAACAAGACGAAATAAAGCGAACAAATAAAAACCGTAAAAATCCCGTATTTAGTCTATGGATTAGGTAGTATGCTCGTTGCAAACAGGACGCAACATGATTAATAATAAAAATTGAATGCTATCGAATGGTCGGTTCCCCAAGGTACGTCGTGCATTGAAACGAAAATGCACGTATGCACGGGCGAGAAACGCGAGTAAACTTTCATCCGGCGTGAATCGTTTTTACAAAGATTAAATTCATCGAAACATTCAGTTTTAAGAGGATAAATCAAGCATTCGAACAGGCGGGGTCCCCAAGTTGAAATTACTACGATCTTTGAGATCTTATTCACACAAATTCTGTCGTCCGCTAGAGGTTGGAGCTGGGAGCCAGTTCTCATGAAATACTTTAGAATGTTACTCCGGATTATATCCACAGAGTCTCCGATCTTCGGCATTAAGACTATTGAATATAGAGTGGACAAAGTTATCCGAGTTGAGACTGAACTAAGCCGGAAGTTTCCAGCTCTCGCGGATCGGGATTCTCTTTGACGAGTCTTAAACTAGCAGTATCTGGCCGGCGTCGTTGCCTGCCGTATTCCGAGGACCATTCGATAGGGTTTTCGTTTCGAGTACACGCTCGGCGAAGACGTAGCAATCCTGAAATATGAATGCCGCTACACGGTCTTGATAAATCTTAATCGAAACTCACGGATCACGTTCAGATGAACGATGTGGCTGATCGGCGTCGCCGTGGAGACCTGGCACTCGTAGAACCCAGTGTCCCGGATCTGCGGATACTTGATTTGAAGCGTCCAGTTGTCCGCGTGCGCACTGTGGATCACTCGAAATCGTTGATCGTTCGTGTATGTATACTGACCAACCGTGAGCAAATGGGTGTCCCTGTGTCGTATCCAGGACACTTGTAACGCCATCTGAGAAAAGAGAAATCGGAAACATGTACGCACCGTTTTTGGTCGCAGAAATCGTTCGGGTACATGCTTTCGTGTTCGGAGTAAAAGGTAATTTCAAGGTGAAGACAATGTACGTGTACGAATTGTATTTTAACACTATGACGTCCGCAGATCTTAGATATGATTCTTTTATTTGACGCCGACGTAATAGTTTGGAAATTTTAGATTTAAACAAAAATTTCGAATATGGCGGTAATATAAATTCCTAAAATTAAGATAAGTCATCCAAGAATTTTCGTACTTAATTCTTAGTGAAATAAGCACAATGCTATAGTTAGTTTGCTGCCCAAATGTTACTTCAGTTTTCTAACCCTTTGCACTCGAGTGGTGGCTCTGAGGCACCACTAAAATTGTTAGTTCGCGTTCTAAGATAATTTTTATATTAACGAAGCTTAAATTTAAAAAATCGTTAAAAGTGTAACTGTTATCACAAGTTATCGCAACATTCAATTTCATATGCATAAAATGCACTTTGTCATATAAAATGGAAATATCATAAGTCAGAAAAATTATTTTAGAGTTAAAATGGTTTCGAGTGCAAAGGGTTAAAATGGCACCAAAGTGGTACCACCGGCATACAACAGATAGTTTTTGCATGGCACCAGTGTGCTGCCACCGGACCACACAAACGGACCACGGGTTTGAGTCCCCGGGGTTATTCAGGAAACACGGTTGAAAAATGCCGAACAGCGTGATAGCGTGCTTATGTTAATTGATTGCGAAGAGAACCAAGCGGCACGATGGCGCTCGTCAAGATTGACAAACAGAACAAAAAGAAAAGAAAAAGAAAAAAAAGGAGCTATGCAATGTACGCGCGTCGCTAAAGTTTGATCGCGACACAAGATCTGAACAGCGCGATAGCGCTGCTTGGGACTCAAACGGTTAAATGGCACGTGATGCGTGGAAAAGCCATTTTGTCCGAAGTGAATGTTGTTACAACATTAATTTTCGTGCAATCCTTTGTAAATGTCTTCAACTAAAGTATCAATCACCCTTGCTTCATGCCCTAGTGCGCGCCCTAAATGAATTTTATTTATACTTTCATAATTCGATATTAGATCTACCATTGATTTCAAATTCTTCGTTTCGCAGTTACTGAAATTATAAAGTTGCATTCGTAGTAAATACGATGGTTAAATATTATAGTAAAAATCGTGCAAAATCCAAGTTTCAATCTTGCCATTTGTACAGGGCCACACGCATTTCACAGACGCGATCAGAAATAATTTGAGTCTCGGTTTGCTAAAACTTCAATTTGGATGTTAATAATAGAATTTCCATTCCTTTAATGAAATTCAGTTATAGAAAACACTGGAAACGGTTAAAAGCTGAAGGAGAAATAGGGAAAATTTACTGTAACGTGTTTTTACGCGAAACGCAATCCGCACGAATGAAATCACAGAAACGAAACGAACGCGATCGCACCGTTGAATATTATTCGATCAGGTTTCTTCAAAGATTCGACGCGTCTTCAGTAGTTAACCTCGCCTCGTCCACCTTCGCATAAGGGAAGAACAGATGGCGAGGACAAAATAAACAGAAGGAGGGACGCGATAACGTGGAAAGATTTAAATGAGTTTCACGGCGCGAGGACCGCTCGCAGTTTACGGAACTCCCAGACCGATTCTTTTGTCCCTCGTTAAGGGTTCCCCATTAAGCAGGACTCCGTAATTAGAAATAGCTCGTTTGTGCGTTGTGCTGGCAATTAGCGAAACGCCGGGGAGAACGTTTAGCGGTGGATTCGCGATCCACTCGACCATGATTTCAAGTTTCGCGCCTCTTTTTGCTCTCCTTAATTTTTCTTTCTGATTTCGACTTGTAAACGAAAGTCGTCGCGACAGATTTTAGTTGTTCGGCGGGCCAGGAATGCTTTTCGATACGTTCGTCGTACGCTCGTATCTGTCAATTCTATATGAAATTCATGAAATTCTTCTCGAATTATTTACGTAAAAGTTTTCGACCGTTTGATCGACACACGCGCGATTCATTAATTTCATTCACCGAAATCCGTTTATTCGTTGGACGGATTTCGGGATATTTTCGTCTTTTCGAGCGCGTTTATGTTTTGTTCTGTTTTTATCGTCGAGAGCTGATTGTGTGTGTCGCGAGCCACTGCGGCGGGTAATTAATTGGTATTTCGAATGAATATAGAGGGGCAGCGACGATCGTAGAGGACGATTTTACACGTGGTGACGCTCGGGTTGCATTAACTTTCATTGCTATTTCTATTCTCCCCGGGACGGTAATAAAATCGTAATGGTTATACAAAATTTACGGATTTCCATATTTTCGCTGAGTTCGCCCGGCGATCTCCAAAGGGCACTATAATACCAGCCCCCTTCCTTCGTTTCGGTCGCGAACGACCGTTTGTTGATTTACAATGGCCAACGCTGAAATGCATTGATGAAGAAATATTGATTTTTACTACAGCGAAATTCCATTCTACGATAAATGGACTTTTTGTTATCAGGTTATTCATTTTCGCGATTACGCGGCCGAGCTCCGACGAAATTAATCGAAATCGAATGACGGCACAAAGTGCAAAATGCAGTGAGACGGCATCGATATACGATTATTACAGACAATTATCGTTCGGTGGAAATGAAGTATCGAGAAATACGCTGTCAAAGGATTTCTCCCGAATCTACATACGAATATTACGTAGGACACTTTACGAGAATGATGTGCCTCGTTGATCTTTTATTCGCCGATAATATTTCAGTTTTCCAATTATTTGTCATTTGTTCGTCGTTGTGTTCGGTATCATGATTGATTAATACGAAAATATGGTTAGGAAAAAGTTCAATTACTTCAGAATCATTCCCTTTTTTTTTTTGCAATGAAAGTTTCTTTATTTTGACATAAACGAGAAACAAGTTTTTTACTTCGATCTGTTTAATGAATCTTTCGATAGAATCTGTGTTGCTTTATTAGGATCGTACCTAGTTATTACGATTAATCGATTAATCAACAGCATCTACATAGCTGCATAACTACAGTAAATTCTCCCTAATTTTCTTTCCGCTTGTAAACAAAAATAGCCAATTTGGGAAGAGAAGATACGATTATTCAAACCTCGCGGCTCATTTTTATATTTGCCGATTGTCAACAATTATAAAAACGAGACGCGAGGCTCGAATAATCGTATCTCCTCATTTCAAATTGAATCATCTCCACCTTTATTTACAAGTTGAAGAAAAATTAGGAAGAATTTAGTGTAGCATCTAAAATTCAATTCTAGGATAATGTACAAGCGAAGGGAGTAAATACTCTCAAAATCTGACCCCTTACATGATATTTTCCAAAATTGAAATAATGGAATAAATTCCTCCTGCAAGATTCAATTCCAGAGTACTACGCAAATAAAGAGAGTAAATCTTCCGCCGTTTAACCATCCGTACTTTTCGAAATTTAAGTTTCAAAGAACAAAGTTCAGAAGATCGGAAGATGCTGCTCCCAATAGCTGCCTTCTAAGATTCAATTCTAAATTACTCTGCAAAAACGAAGAAAAGAAGTGTTCCCCGATCTAGATGATACTTTCCCAAATCGGAGCTTGAAACAACGAAGTTCTCAACTAGTTATGCAACATAAACTTGAAGATCTGTATCTATCAGAATCTGCTGCTCCTAGTTCTAGAATCCAATTTTCGAGTAGTTTTCGACAGAGGAGGGGACTAAATCCTGCCTAGTCTAATCTTGGACTCGTTTAACTTCCCCGTTCAATTCTATCGGCGGCGAGATTACAGTCTCCTCGGATCGGAAAAGTTGGCTTCGAAATGGATTGCTTCATCTTCCGAATTTTCTCGCGCGTTTCTCATGTCCGGCGTGCAGGCGTTGGCGGCGTTTGCGGGCTCGCAGTTTTGTAGACCCGGCAGGACATTTTCCGAGGCGGGTGCGGTGCGTGCCGTTACAAAGGTAGCAAATATTTACACGTCGCTGACTCGGGATGTCCAATTATCGCGTCCCGAGGCGTTTTATCTCTCGCGCTAACTTCCCGACGATATGCAAAGCGGCTCTATTAATTTTCCACTACGCTAGGAACCGGGCGAAATCCAAGTGGAACGAGGAACGTCTGTATACCCTTGAAATTTGCAGTTCTGCGGCTCGCGCATGAAAATTCAAATCTCTTGCATTATGGAAAGCGTTTCAATTAATTTTTAATAGAGGATTACAAGTGGTGGTGCTGCAGACGCCGACGCTGACGTCGACGCCCGACGCCGTCGCTGCCGCCAAAGCGCAGCCGGTCCCCCTTTAAAATCCCGCGTCGCTCTTAGCATAAATAGGCAACGTTATTAACTTCCAGCCGTACTTTTTCAGCCAGCCGTCGCGACTGTTGAACGAGCTTCAGTTACGCTGAAAAAAATTTCGTCTGGCGATCAGTCGCTGCCTTTCGCAATTACAGAGAACGCCCTTCTACGCCGCGACGCTGTGTGTTGCCATTAACACGAGTCGCATAAGCTACGCAAGCATGCGTTACGCATGCGGTCAACATCTCATCGTTGTTCAGAGCGTAGCATAAAGCATTATGAAATGAAACAACTAACGAGAGATTGAGAGAATTAAAATGGTATTACGCGATATAAGTTTCGAGATTGTTCTATAAGTAAGGTTCTTCGCGACGGTTTTACATAACCGAACTTCTTCCGCGATAAAAAGTCCTATACATCAAGTTTTAGGGTGTCGTTTCGATCCTCGAGGTAAAGAAGTTTCAATCTTCGTATCTGCGATGGATTGAACAATGAAACGAATCCAGTGACTTCGGGGACTTGAAAGTTCAAAACGAGCACAGATTTATCGCCGCGCGATCTTTTTATTACGAAATGATAAAGGTTTGAAGATCGACGATTTTCAGCGCATGGAAATGTTCGCATACTTTTCGGAGCCATTGTGTACTGCGCGAAGCTGATGAAAATTTTAGAATTCGTGCGAAAGTGCATTAAAATGCATTCATTTGCTCGTACA